GGTATGAAGCCTTCGGCATAGCCGAAGACAGCGCTGCTCTTACTTGTTTATTTTAATAATAGTCCTTTTGCAGTTTTTATACACCTAAATAGCACAGAAATTACGTAATTCACGTAGACATATTAATATTTCGTTCAATATTACGATTAAAATGCCAGATTTCTTGCAAATACATTAGGGGTATTTACGATCCGGTGCATACGGTCTAGCATGGTGCATAGATAGCATAAATAGCATGATTGTTGTTGTTTCATGTGTTCAAACAACAACAAAATTAGCCAATCATGCTATCTATGCACCATGCTAGACAGTATGCACCGGATCGTGAATATCCCTATTGGAATTTACAAAAGGAATTTCACTAACAATTGCGTACTTTGCGTACTTTTATACTACCATTTTCGCAACAAGGGATTGCATTCTTGCCATTTCTCTGTCCTTCGTAAATGCAACTTTTTGTAAGGGAGTGTCAAACCGCGGCTCTCAATAATTGTCTAACCTTGTATTATTGAATCATAGGTCCTAGAGGTGTCAAACTACCGATAGTCACACCATCGATAGTTTTGATAGTTTTCAGAAAAACTATCAATATTCACGATAGTCTCGAAAAAAACAAAACTATCGATAGCACTATCGATAACGCTAAATCAGCTAGGTTGCTTTGTTTTTACAGGATCATAGTGAAATAAATATTATCTTATAAAAGTTATAATCATTCAAAATCAAGTAACTGCTTAGCCAAAATACTTCTCTTTTTAGAAAGTTCAAAAACAAACACAAGTTATACAAACAAAACAGGGTTTACGATTAACACATGTATGTGTGTTGGCCTAAATGCATGCATATTTGAATATGACGTCGGCATCACACTAAATAATAAAATTATAGTTTAAAAAACTAAAACCTCCCTATTATAATTGCCATTCGTACTGTCATCAGGTATGTGACTTGAGAATAGAAATCGCTGCATCTTTTAGGCGCATCAATATTACATAGTTACATCCCGAGCTAATAAAAGGAAGGTAAAAACAAAATTTTTAATTCAAATTAAAAAATTCAGGTATTACCAACAATAGTTCGATAGTCCTACTAAACTATCGATATTTTTGATAGTATAAGAAAAAACTATCAATGAGTATTGATAGTCTAAAAAAATTGAAACTATCGATAGTGCCAACGATAGTTTGACAACTCTAATAGGTCCACCAATACATACGCGTACGAACAACAGCGGGAATTTTTTTCTACCCAACCTTCCCGAACGCGAACGATCTGGACTTGTTTATGCTTCTCGTTCGCGAACGAGAATCAATAGAAAATATTTGATACGTTGACGTTCGCGTATAAAATCGTAAATGTATGTAGGTGCGCGAGCGTTCATATATAAATATTTTCTTACCCTGCTCAGAACTCGATTCTCAAAAGGATCGACAGTACCCGATTTTTAAAAGTATCGATACTGACTACTCCAAAATGCTCAGTACTCACAAAAGAACTCAAAAGTACTCAGAACTTAAAACAACTCGAAAGTTCTCGGTATTCAAAAATAATCTGTTCCAATCATCACTTTGATACAATTACTCAGGCTCGATTCAAAGTACTCAGTATTAAGTGTCGAATAGATACTTAAAATTACTGAATTCTATTTGCATTTACCGATATTCATAAATGATTGTACTCAATTTCAAATTTCAATAATTTTCAAGTACAATACTTGAAACCTTTTTAGTTACCCAATCATATGAACATTTGAAGAAAGTACTCAGTACTCTCAAAAATACCCGATCCTTAAAAGTATCGATACCAACGGACTCGATGCTCAGAAGTACTCGATACTTTCCAACACTAATTGAAACCGTTATGAAGAATGCATGTATGTAACAGAGCAGGGTAATTTTTGATTACGATTACATTTTAATTAAGGTTTCTTAATTGTAATCCTTAAATTATATGCGAATATGTTACCATTATCATTATAATACAGTAAAACCCGCTTAAGTACCTCACGAAAAATTTCAGCTTTTTGAGGTACTTAGGCGGGTTGGGTACTTAAAAGAACCCGCTTAAGTACCTCGATGCGGTTACTTAAGCGAACATAATTATTGATGTAGTTACATCTTTTTGTTAACTTACATAAATATGTAAATCCTTGAATAAAACATGAACATTTAATGAAGTATACGTATTTATTAAAGATTTTTCAATTAAAATACAGTTCTTTCCCTAACAAATACCATGTAAATCTAAGCTTAAGATTTTATAGAACACTTAAAGAAAAAAATTCATCAAAATTTAAATTTTTTTTATCAGTTGTGTTTTTTGAGTATACAGTTTTATAGCCCAGTCAATTTTAGTGTAATAATGTGCAAGTTTCAAGTGGCTAAAAATTACCGTTGATTTTTTTATAATTTTTTTTTGCCGAAGGTGTGTAACGCTGCCACTGAGATTCAAAGCGGGTTCACTGTAGTTGTAATCTTAAAAATTTAAGGACTATGATTACTGTAATCGTAATCATGAAATCCATTTCTAAGGTGAACCCCGCACAGGCCTGTATTATTTATGAATATGTATGTACTTGGATGCGAAATAACGCGTTTTTTTAAATTGTGAAGCAGATTTGCGCTCCAATGCAACGATCATACTCATTTTAAGCCGTTTTACACAATCTTTTATCAAGATAAAAAATCCCCATACACAAATTTTGCCACTTAAATATTAAACTTATACATATCTAGCAAACAAAATCACATATGGTAAGCAATAATTTTCGCCTATGGAGACGCGTCGTTAGCTAGTCTTTAACAGGCGATTAGTTTACTCAAAAGTTTGAGGGCCAGTTGCTGAAAGCCTGATTAACACTAATCATCGGTTAACATCGTTATCGACGTTTTCCACTCCATGCATATAACACGGTGTCGGCAAAGTCGATAACGACATTTAGCCAGGGATTAGTGTCAACCAGGCTTTGGGCAACCGGCCCTAAATCATTTAAATGAAAGTTGAACGATGTTAACGCCTTTTAAATACAATGATTGTGGCCGATTACGAAATAATAATATTCTTAAAGAAATTTTTTGAAAATTTCATCAAAACTTGAAAGGGAGGACAAGGAGGACATAGAAGGACAAAATTTTGTTTCATAAAAATTATTTTTTAGCACATCTAACTATGCACATTTTATAAACTTTTTTAATATATTTTGCATAATTCTGCATATTTTTTGCATACATTTTTCACACACTTTGCATATTCTATTTGCGTACAAATCTGAGCTCTAATTATAAGGATCGATTAACCTATTTTTTGGGAACACTTTTACCTGTACTTAGATCCGAGTAATCAGTGTACATTTTGTTTTTACAAGATTGATGTTACCTGTTATTATTACAATAATACCAATAACGTCTGCTATATTTCAGCGTCAACCACAGAAGATGGCAAAAATAAAGCAGAATATCGAATATATGGATTGACCGCATTGGCATCGTTTCCTGGAAGCGGCAACACTTGGCTTCGTTATTTGTTGCAACAAGCGACAGGTAAATGGATTACTAATCAGTAGGGCTGTGCGATTATTCGATTACTCGAACAAGTTGGTTAATCAATTACTCGAGTAATCAAGACTTTGATTACTCAAAACGATGATTAATCGAGTTACTCGAAATATGATTACTCAAAAAAAATAATTTTGCTCGTTAAAAGAGTTTGCTTTGGAAAATGCTTATTTTCTTTTTTACATTCTGTATATGAAAAAAATTTTTCGTTTTAAAAACAGAAACGTTGCACACTGGGGCTTCTTCATAGAGGGCGATGCTCAAAACTCATTTTTCGAAATAATAATATCCCAACGGTTTTTACCCTCCATTCCCGCCCATCCGCACGAGGGGCGCAGTCCGCATGACGTACGGAACCAGTATTTTCAATTTTTGCGCCGAGTCACGATAGGCAGGAGTTTGTTAAGTGTCGAGATCTAAAACTGTTCAGCTACAGAAATAAATTCATCAGCCGATTTTATGTCTTTATTTTAATGATTCATTTATTGAGAGAGGACAGTATCGATTTCTTAATGCTGAAAAGCGGATCTGATATATCAAACGCGCTAGAATGAGAGTTAAAATCCTGGCATAAGCAACGGAGTGGGTCGTGCAATTCAAAATTAGTTTTACAAGCTTTCAGAAATAGGGGGGAAAAGTGTCTTGATACCCGGGAGGGAACATTAAGGCTAACTTCGCCAAGAAGAAGCGGACTTGAAATTGAGCCTGTTAGTAATTTAACTATAAAAATTGTACCAAGCATTTGCCTGCGGCTGGAAAGTGTAGGAAGATTAATAAGTTTTAATCGGCTCGTATAAGGTGGAAGGTTATATTGAGAATCCCAAGGAAATTTCTTAAAGCAAAAAGTAGGAATTGTTTTTGAATTGATTCTATCTTGTCTGAGTAAATTCGATACCTTGGATTCCAAACCACCGAACCGTATTTCACAATCGGCCTAACTAATGTCGTAAACAGGGTTTTAGTGATATAAGGGTCACAAAATGCTTTTGACCATCGTTTCACAAATGCAAGTACACCTTTACCCTTGTTGACTGACACATTAATATGAAGATTAAAATTAAGCTTAGGATCCGTTGTGATACCAAGGTCCACAAAATTGTATACCTATTCCTGGTTATGGTTATCTACTGTATAAGAAGCGGGATGAACAGCTCTTCGCGGGAACCTCATTACTTTACATTTCTTAAGATTTAGAGGCATAAGATTTACTTGACACCAGTAAGCCATGCTGTCTAAGTCTGATTGTAGCAAAGACCTTTCTTTAATTGAAACGTACGATTTATAAAGCTTTACATTATCTGCATACATTAGAATTTTGGAAAATTGTATATCTGTAGAAATATCGTTTATAAAAAGCAGGAACAGAACCGGGCCTAGGTGGCTACCTTGAGCGACTTCTGAAGTAACATCAATGACGTCAGAGATAGCATTTTTAAACATTACCCTTTGTGATCTATCATAGAGGTATGAAGAGATCCAACGTAGGAAATTAGGTGGAAGACCTAGAAGATCAAGTTTGTAGATGAGCAACGAGTGGCACACTTTGTCAAATGCTTTACTGAAATCAGTATATATAACATCAACAGATTTGCTTTCACTAAATGCTTTTGAGATATAGGATGTTAATTCAAGTAAATTTGTAGAAGTTGATTTGCCTTTGCAAAATCAATGTTGACTATATGAAATGCTCGAAGAGATAGAATGCGTCAACTGATTTGTTATAATTGCTTCAAATAATTTAGGAATTGCAGAAAGCTTAGCTATTCCCCGGTAGTTCTCCACTGAAGATCTGCTACCGCTTTTATGTAACGGGGTTATGAACGATTCCGTCCATATAGTTGGAAAAACGCCCTCTTTAAGAGATAAATTAAATAACGCCGTTAACGGCTCATAGAGATAATCAGAACAATTTATAATATATATTATAAAGTTGGTATTTAAGATAAAAACTATATACAAGCAGAGTCATAACAAAGTAGCAAATCTCGTGTATAAACATTGGGTTCCGAACTACTACCAGCTGCCGCGTACAACAGCTCAAAGTTAACTTTTCAGTCAGAAATTTTGTTTCCCGTTATCGAAAGCGAGTTCATATGTGTTATTAAAGGCTGTCTTATTATGTTTAAGGTTACTATTAGTTTAGAAGGAACTATGTCGTTGAATAAGCAGTGTGTGCTGATTGTTTTACAACTTTACATCATTACATAATTTCAATGGTTCCGAGATATAAAGAAAACAATTTAATAAACAATTTTTTTTCATAGTGAATTTTTAAATTCGTTTTTTTTCCAAAATGCGCAAGGTTCTTTTCCGAATCTTTTTTTTGTTATAACCGCAAGCCTTTATATATAAGTAAACTTAAAAGATTTGCACAAGAACGTTACGCATTTTTGAGAAAAATAAGTTTTAACGTGAACTTATTAATTTTTGTCAGGCACATTTTGTCATTATTTTATCAAAAATATGTTCCAAGTGGGAGTGTTTTAAGGAAAATTCAAACTAAATGGAAGATAATGGTATATACCGCATGTATTTATTCTTTATTTCAATACTGTTAACTTTTATTCCAGACGGAACCCTTTTATCCATTAAAAATCGGGATTTGTGTGAAATATTTTTTAAAAGCCCGTCTAAATTACTACAATGCAAGTTCAGAGATATGGAACAATATATTTCAAGCCAAACCAGCTGCCCAGCTTCGGAAAGAAAGAAGTTGCAAATATGTTTGCGCAATTTCAAGAGCTACATTACCTTAAAATGGATCAGATGCGGTAGACACAAAAATAGATTTTATGAATCGGAAAAAGCGTGGTTAGAAAAAGCTTGTTATTTTGTGGTGTATCAGATACCTAAAGGAGGAAGGCCCACAAAAGACTTTGGGGAATTTAGTGACCAGTCAAAATATAGGAAAACTGCCTAGCTTCGTCAAGATTATTCCCACGAACAATTAACGTTCGCAGCACAAATGAGCCTGCTAGCTAGCGGAAAGCGCAGTGAAGCCAAACAAGTTCTGGACACTATTAATCCCCCATCTGAAGAAACTTCTCTGAACTGCCACATGTTTTTTTCGAATCGCGAAATAAAGATTTCAAAGCGTATCGTGAACGTTTTAGTCGAAAAACTTCAAGCAAAGCTAACCTTGAAGATGTATTTCATCGTCTCTTTTATTTTTCCGATCCTCATATTACGAGTTTAAGACCTTTACAAACAGTAAAAAGAAAATCATTTGATCCAGAAGTAAAAGACATGCTTTTAGAAGAGAATTTTGAATATACACAACCTGAATCTGATGATTATATAGACGAATAAAATATTTATCGTGCCTTGTACCGTTTTGTTATTGTTTCTATTTTAAGTAATCTTTATGGCCCGTTACCATAATTCCAATTATCAATGTGCAATGAATTAGTTTTTCAGTGTCTAGAACACGAAGTGACTTATTGGAAATAGTGGATGATCTGGGTTTATTATTTTTCCCTAAATATCTACATATTTTTCAATTTAACAAGAAAAAAAATTTGTTGAACAGTGTTAGTACACAAAATAATATTATATTTCCATTTTGGATGTGTCTTCGTAGTTTTCAGGGGAAAAATCCGGTTACAGACTTTTAAGCACCAACTTGTATGAAGCGGCCCCATTGTGCGTTGTTTTCAAAGTATCAAGGAACTTTAACTACTTTATACATATGTAAAGAGTTGAAATGTTGATTACTCATTTTACTCGAAATGTTGATTAATCATAAAGCAAATTACTCAAATATTTTTTTTTTTTTGGTTAATCAAAAATCTTGATTACTCGAGTAACTGAACTTTTGAGTAATCATAATTTCCAATTAATCGAATAATTGAGTTATTTACTTTATGATTAATTAAAATTTTGAGTAATCAATTAATCGCACAGCCCTACTAATCAGTATTAGGCTATTCCGTAGTTGTTATTCCGTAGAGTGAAACTTCACTACATCGTCATATAATTTCAAAGGTTGGCAAAGCACCACAAGCAAATATAGAGCAAGAGCAACTGTTAGCAAAAACCAAAACCTTGGTCGAAATATCCAATATATCTGACTCATGAACCAAAACCGAACCAAAATGTATCATCTCGATAAACGAGCTTTCGTTTTCTCATCAGCGCATTAGTTTCTCGAATCGATAGATTGTTGCTTACCCGATGCCAGAGAACTTAGATAGATAGAGAAAGTGCAAACTTAATGTGACCAACTATGTCATATCTCAAAGAAGTACAGCTTAGGTTCGGTTAAGTTAACGCCGCGAGCCGATTACGGAATTTCGAATGCGGCTAATTTCGATCTCTGAGAGCCAATATGCTTCCAACATAGCCTCGCGATGATTGGGCAGTCTAAAAGAAGGTGTGGAGATGATTCCATTTCATCTTCCTCTTGAAAGCTGATACAAAAGAATCAGTTGAAATTCCTAGTCTCACCGCATGAATACCAATCGCGCAATAGCCTGTCAGAACCACCATCACTAGCCCTTGAGAGGTAACGTGTTTTAAAGTGCCCTATAAAAACATTTGCTTCAGCAGAGAAACGTCTTCATTTCATTTTTTATGTTGCAAAAGGACTCGGTTTTCCTCATCCTAATATCCGCAGGCGCTGTGTTCTACACATGTATGTTAAGCGTCAGTGTGAGTGTGGTTCCTAATGCTCCGCTAATTCATGTTTTACAAGTGTGGCCTTCTCTAGTGAGTTCCACCTAACCAGGACTCCTTGAAACAATATCGACTTTAATCTGTTTTCCCAGAGCTTATGAATTAATTTGGGCGAGAGACCCCACCTTTTACCGATAGCTCCCCTACAGCAATGCAAGGCAGCCGACACATTTCCAACCCCTTCCTCAATGTTAGGCTTCCACGACGGCCGCCGTTGATCGCCCCTAGTTACGTGGTTCAGGTAACCTTGAGCCAGATCAAAAAGGGTGTATAGAAATCGTACCTTAACCAAAAGTTCCACATCATCTACA